TCTGCATAATAGTACAAGTACTTTATATCCCGTAGTATGTTACATGTATATCCATACTGTCAGGTGTCCGCATAACCCAACCCCACAACCCACAAGCGTGCAACTCTGATTTGCGGACTATGGGCTGATTCCCCAGTTCGTGGATACGTAATGTGGGCCGAGCGCAGTGCCAGAACCCACGTGCAGTCGCATACTCTTGACGTCATGGACTCTTGGTACTACTAGTACTTCATACTGAAGTTTCACTGTGTGGGGAACCCGCCTGTCTGTGTTAGTGTTTTGCTTCGACGTCGCTTTGTCTCAGTTTCTTCCTCAGTGCTTGTTGTGATTGGCATGTGGCAGGCAAATGGCCGTGGAACTTCAACAATTGGGCTCTAATGTGACAACTGGATGGTAGTTGATTTACATGTTGGACTGGTGTGCCACGTAGCCTTCTGCTGGCATCCTGGCACTACATGTTGTTGCCAGGGTACCTCTTTGTCGATTTTGTCCACAGACACCACGCTTACACTCGGCATGTATACATGGAGCTGCAGGTCTTGAATGCCTTTCCCTTTTGCTATGTTCACCATTGTTATTCTGTATGTATTGTAGGTATTATGGCCAGCCGTTACTCCCCATTGAGAAAAGATCCCTGCAAGTGTACTTGACTGGCTGTATGTGTCTAACACGTCTGCAAGCACCAACTGAAGTGGGTGAGTGCGAACTGGATGACTTACTGTAATGTCGTTTATGAAAGCCAGGCGTATTTCTGTAGAAGCCGGTGTGGTGGCTAGGCCTCTATTTACATGATGTTGCATTATGTTTGTAGTCAAACCAAACTTTTTATGGTTGCCGATGCAAAATCCACACTATTCTGTCCCCGGGGAAAATTGCGATTCCGCGGCCGCGTTTTTTTCCGCGTTTTTTGCGATTTTTTAAATGACCGCGTTTTCCGCGATTTTCCCGCGTTTTTTGAACTTTTTTGTTGCACTACACGTACACACAGTGCACTGTTCGGTCAGCAACGTCTCATCATGGCGGCTTTTTACTCAAATATGACGAGTGCTTACACCAGAGACTTGTAACTGATTGATTTCACTACATACTCACTGAAAATTGCCGCACTTCAATATTATTCACCGCATATTTACCGCAAATTCACCGCAAATTATGCCATATTATGCCGCGTTTTTTGCGATTTTTTCCGCAATTTTCCCCGAGGACAGTGCTAATTGCCTATCTTGGAACTCAGGCTTGTGTTCAGAACAGGCTTCTGCATAAGACAGGCTTTTATACAAAGCAGTGGAGTAAGTGAAGGACTGTTTATACTACTTGTAGACACCACAGGTACTACAGGTATGTGTGTGAAGCTTCATTCCAGGGGAGAAAACGAGAGCGAGGTGGAATTGTCACCATCCAATATTGTCCACCCTCATGACCATAGCTTGGGGTGGATCGTCTGACAAACAAGCAATAAGTCCTTTATTCTTAGTTTCTCGGTACTCTCCTCCACTGTACATTGGCCTGCTGTAGGTCAATTTGGTGGATAACTTTGACAGCTGTGTCCATAGACTTGCCCTTTACTACATCGTGTTTTGGGGTTGCATTCATCCTCCAGGGTTGTGTGTAGGCACCTGGACAGAGCCTGGTGCAGAGCTTGGGTGGTACCCAAACGGCTCACATGAGCATGATGCCACCTTTCTTAGCTTTGGGGTATGCAGTAGGAATGTGTGCCACTAGTCCCTCCTGCATCAGGGACAGTAGAGTTAGTAATGCTTGTAGCGGGAATGTTATGTGTCGGGTATTCGTCAAAGTAATAATATATTTATGCCATTTTAATAGCAAATAATGTTGCTCCATTGTGTAACAGTTTGTCTGCTACTACTTATACTCCGTCAAGCATTTCATCTTCTGCATGGTATTGTACTGCTTTGTCTGGTTTATTGCTGCCAGGTGCTGCACAATGATCGATGCACGTAATCATTACCCACAGCAGTGGTGTCGGTCAGTGTGGTGTAACTACCTTCCTCAACAATCATCAGCTGCTGGGTTGTGACAGTTTTGACAAAAAATAGTCGGTCTCTCTCATTCCGTTATCCCTTTGTCGACTCTGAGGAGATGCTCAACAACCACATAATTTGGTACTTCCTGTTTAGCCTAGTATTTGCAGTATTTGCTTCCTACACCAGCCACAGTGCTTTTCTTCCCACGTTCTTTTTTTCCGCTGGTTTGGGATTATCTTTTGTGTTACATTCTTTCGTTTTCTGTTACATCCTTTTCCTGTTCTTGTGTGTTAACGTTTCAGTGGAATGGTGCAATGCATTTCCAACCAATACAGTCATTCTGGTCGAAATTGGATTCAACTGTACAGGTTTCCAATGCTTATGGCGTACTTCTGATGTATTCTCAGTCGTATTGAGGACACATGGGTGGGTAAACCGCTTATAGGGCGGTTCTCATCGGCAGCAGCAGGTACACTGGGACCCACGTGGAGATTGTGGGTGGTGTCCAGCTAAAGCTTTCGTGCTTTGGCCTATGCCAAGGGCATGATACGTACCCTGTGCATGGAAAGACGATGAAAATCAGCAGCTTTGCAAATGCACCTCTACAGCCCGTTTCCGCAGTGACACACATTGTGGCTGTTTTTGATCCGTTAGTACACTATGTTTGCTGCCGCAGACATGTGTCAGTATTGTCCGGTGCTACTGCTAACTCAAATGGCACGAAATGACAGGTTTCTCGTCGCTCGTCAATGGCTGAAGCCTTTCTTCTTACAAACCCGCCCGCCATGCGAACGGTTTAGCAAAACCACCACCCTCGCTCATGCAAACACTAGGGCACACGTATAGTATCAACGGAAAATGCACAACAATGCCTCTGAATACTCTTCTTCTTGAGAAAATTGGCATTGACTGCCCGACTGTCGATAAAAAATACGTCTCCAAAATGCAGCTGTTTGCATTTGAATTTTCCCGCGCTTTGGCATTTGGGATAATAAAACTACCTCTAAACGTCGACTTTTCGCAAAACGGCGCATCGCCTGTCCACTTGCCCCGTCTCGAACCCAGACAATCTTTGTGCAAGTCATCTATTCAGAGATCACCTGTCATTGAGTATCCCGTAAAAGGAGGCCTCGACAGCAGAAAAGTTAATAATATAGAAAAGAGATCCTGTCAGCTTTTCCATTATTAATTTTATTGTATTCCACCTAAAATCAGCACACTTTTCGTAAATGAAAGAGTCAACACAAGCAAATGAATCAAAGGGAACTGGTCAACTCGCCTGTCATTGAGTAATATTCCGTGAAAAGAGTTCTCAGCAGAGCCGAAGCGAAATAAGCCAGGACACGAAATATCCGAAACAGCTCATGCAAGAAGCAGTTCCAAAGAAGGAAGTTCTTCGCGCATGCACATCCGAAAACGGACTGCATGCACTGCACGCAACACAATGTCTGCCGTGCACGTGCACAGCACGCGGCTACCAAGCGTTGGTAGATCTAATACCGAGCACCTTACGTAGAAACTAACGTAGCCTAAGTGAAGTTAAGTACCGAGCACCTTACGTAGAAACTTACGTAGCATAGCGGTGTCGTTTTTTCTGCCATGTGAACACAATAGAGAGGTTCTGCTATACGTGAAACGTAGAGAAATCACGTAGAGAGCAGGTGTCTGGGTTAGAGTCTACGGCTTCGCGTGTTTTGGCTCCAGATTTCTACGCGGAGATGGGGTTCTCTACGTTGTGGCACACGCAGAGAAAATGCGTACGGATTTGCTGGGTATCGATCAACTGGATGCAGAAAACTGCCAAATATGGAAGGGGAAATTCCCAGTACACATTCCACGTGACTTCTCTAGGTGAAACGTAGAGCAGAACAGCATTTCTTTACGTTACGGGAACGCGAAGAAAGTTCGCGTGATTCTTTGCGTCGCGTTCCCAACACGTAGAGCAGAACCTCCCTATTTACCCATATAAAAACCGCTCTGTGAGCGGTTCTGAAAAACCTCTACTGGTGCAGCCCCGTCGTAAAAGTAAGAAATTAGAACTGGCGCATTGTCCTCCCAAATGTGAACTGATCCACCTAAATCGCGATTGACGGGACCCGAACGCACCAGTAGCACGAGGTTCCTACCTGTGGATGCAGCTGAGCTGGGGACGCTGGTCCATAGCCAAAGCCAAAGCGGCAAAGGTGGGCTTCGGGGTAGATGAGTGTTGTATGGTAACTTGATCAGCGCCGACGCCGGCTGTGATCCTGTTCCCTCCCGACCTCGTGCTACTGGTGCGTTCGGGTCCCGTCAATCGCGATTTAGGTGGATCAGTTCACATTTGGGAGGACAATGCGCCAGTTCTAATTTCTTACTTTTACGACGGGGCTGCACCAGTAGAGGTTTTTCAGAACCGCTCACAGAGCGGTTTTTATATGGGTAATTTCAGTTCTTTTTCTGTTCCCTCCCCCACCCTAGCCCAGCTCCGAAGATAAACATGGTGAGCACGCGCGCGATGCACTGTATGTAGCCATGCGACTGCAGTAGCACACTGATACATTCCAGCCCTCCCCACCTCGCTACCCCGCACACAGACACCTTGTGACAAACACGCACATGCACATGGCACACACACACACATGGGCGCGCACACACATACATACACACACACGACCCAAACAGGAAATTCTTGATTGTATAATGCCATGCAAAGCAGTGGCCACCATACTTCAGGAAGTCAGTTGTGAAACAAAAATAATTCAACTACAATGTGTAGGTAAGCTAGCGGCCAAAGCACAACATTGCAAACCGTGATGATATTTGCCTAAGGATTGCAGTTTGCAGACCACACCATGGAAGCAGTGAATACAGAATTATTGTAATGTCATACAAAGACAAGCAAAGAAGTGGCCACCACACACCAGAAACTTGCAGAAAGTCACATATCCAACAGATAGAGAAGTGAACAGCATCTGGTACAGCCCACACAAAACCAAGCTGACCTGATACTCGTCCGAAGATCGTAAGTGGCAGATCCTTTTCAACGATAGCATGCAGGTGTACGTTACACGCATGGACAAAATCTGACCGTGTCACCGGCATACATTGTCATCACATGCATACCCCACAGGTTACACACATGCACAGTAGAAGCACAATAAAAGCAATGGAAAAATATGAAGGGGTTGCTGAAGCATCTTCACACTTCAATTTCAGACTTCGATGTGGTCGTCACGGGGTGATATACCTGCAAGATACAAGTGATACAGGAAGAAAGCATAAGGTCGTGAGGTAGGCTATGAGACACCACAAATGGGTCACCTACATGTATGTTCAGGGCTGGTGTACACACACACGCAGAATTATCATAATCGAGAATTTCCCAAACTACAGAAGAGCAATGAAATCCATTTGCATGCACAGGAGCAATTTTGCAGTATGATGCGCAGCTCGGGAATACACCTGTTGGCAATGGATTACATTCCCATTGGAATTCCCATTCACGTGGGATTCACAGAAGCAATTTGGCAGTGTACTGCGCAATGCGACACGACCTGCGATTCTGCGTGCGATGCGAACTCGCACAAAATACCATTCACAGAATCAGGACAAGACGTCAGCGATGCAACAGCGCCTTGCTGACGTGCCTCAAGTCAAAGCTCAATGAGAATGCGTTTGTCGGTTACAACTGGTACAAATGTACAAGCAATTTCTGAAAATGCTCCTGTGAATCCTGCTTTAAGCAGTGCAGGAATGTCCCTCCTCCGCTCCCCCCCCCCCTCCACACCCTCATGGAACTTGACAAGGAAGGGTGGTCTTCGCGGTTCCCAACATCTATTTGCAGTTTCTGGTCTCCACTATGTCTTTTCAATGGGGATTTGTACGTACCATAAAAGCAAGCCTAAAAAATGAACAGCACATTTGCCGTTCCCCCACTGGGGAGGATGCGTTCCACAGCTATCCTGACAAGATATTCCGAGAAGCGGTGCTGAGTGCAATGCATTGTGAAACTGAAAAAGCTGACCAAGCCGCGGCACATAACGTCTAAACTTCAATTGTAGTTCGCCAGCTGACTACTTTCAAACTCCATGTAGGTTGGAGTACAGCTGGCTTAGAAGTTGACAACAACGGCGCACGCACATAAGCAATGGCCACCTTACCTGTACTGTAGCAGTACTTCCGAGTTCCCGTATGGGAGTTCCCTCACTGTGTGTGCAATAGCAGCCTCATCGGACCAGTTCAATGCGACGCGGACAGTCCGACACTGAGGAGGACATTGAAGAAGTGAGAGACAGGAAGAATGGTTGATTTACAATTCAACTAGCAAGGCTGCACACCCACGAAGTTCCACTCACCATTGTGCCGTCCTTCTTGGAATGCAGAAATAACAGTCATTTTTCTATTCGAAATGGCCGCTACCCCCCTACCCCCGTTTCGAAATGCGTTACGTTTAGAAACAAAATGCGAACTTATGAGATGCTCCCTTATTCGAAATGCCAGTTTCCATTGAATTGAAGGGACGAAAATGAGCTTCTGCTCATTTTCCCCAACCCCAAGCACCATTCAAGCGGTGCACAAGATAGTTTGCAACAGGTTGGAGCAACAATGTATCACCGTGGTGTCATATTGAGGAGCTAGAGTGTGTCTAGTTCCTGTGAAGAGAATGTGAGAAATGATGGAAACGTGAAGGAATGTGCAAGTCTTAGATGGATGTGTGACTGCTCCCTTATCAGAATTTTTCCCCATCCGAACCCCCTGGAGAAAGCGTGCGCCCGAGGGGTGCGGATAATCTACACTCTGCTGTAACAGTTATGTACAATGAGTGCCGATGCACATTGGACAACGTTGCAAATGTAGAATTGTAGGTGGACTGTGGTTCACATTAGACGATCGGAGTACCCCCACCAAACGAAGAGAGCTCAACATCACAAGGTAGAGCTTGCATGTACAATCGAAAAAGAGTACATATACCATTAGCTGATGCTGTTAGTGTGCGTTACGAAGTCTGAAGAAAATGTTGAACGATCTCGGCTGGGATGACGGCTACACCTTAGCTCAGTGATTAGAGCATCGCTGGCCTCAAGCGAAGGTCCCTGGTTCGAATCCTGGTGATGACAGTCAATTTTTTCTTCAGACCTTTCCCGTTTGTGCATTTCCCTCTAACCAGTGAATATTACTGTTAGCTTCGTACTTTGAGTGATTATCACTTACAGTTACATATACTTGATAATTTCTTAGCGCATGAAAATCGGAGTCAGTACCACAATATTCCTACCTCACTATAATGAGTCTAGATACTTTGAATGTGGAACAGGGTCCAGGACAGGATCGTCTGCTCTATCCAAATTATGGCCTGGTTGCAATTTGTCTATTTACCAGCAGGTACATCGCGCCAGGGAGTCATAGCACCTACACTGTAGGGAGACTACACAATACTTTATAGAATTTTGGGTCAGGATTTGGAGGTTCTCCGTGATCTGTGCAATCACGGCCTTGACCTACTGACCCTGAGAACGGCCCAGATTAGCAATGCCATGTACGAGCGTGTATAGATCTGCCCAATGGTGCCCCAGGGGTGGCTGAAACAGGAACCCCTGGGTCGAACCCCATGTCATTTAGCTTTACAGTCGCCTGTGCCATCTACCTAGATGCTACAACTCCCTGCGTTGCACCCAGTAAATGCAGCACATCAAGTATACAGCCATGTAGTGTTGGTTGTCACCTGTTCTGATCGTGTGATATCACAAACAATCTTCTACGGTCCATTCATTCGAACCTGGCACGTTTATATAGGGCCATCCATAATTATCTATCTTTAACAAGAAACGAGAAAAAAATCGTTCATGGGCGGGTGGGTCAAGAAGGGTTTCGTAATGAAAAATATTGATAGCTGAAACACTAGTCCATTCCAGCTATTTTTCGTTGAGGGGTGAGTAGGTGGGGGTGGGGGACGGTCACAAGTTACTCATCACTAAACTTTTCATTTCGTGAAAATTATCGATAATGCCGGGTCCATAATTGTCGATCTTTTACACGAAGAGAAAAAGTTTCGTTGGTGGGTGGGTCAAGGGGAGTTTCATTTCGAAAAAATACTGATATTACAGACATCAATCGGGGGGGGGGGGGGAGGGGTGGTGGGTGGGTGGGTGGAGGAGGGTCCTTCTTTCATTTCGTGAAAATTATCGATAAAGCTGGATAGCTTTAGTCTATGCAATAAAATAGTTGCTTTCTTCACACAGACCGTAAAGTTTAAACAATATCCGGCCAGGTTTGTACCGAACATTTTTTCGAAAGGTAATTTCTCAAATGTTGCCTTGAGTACGTTCTCAGCAACATAGCGGGCCAGTTTCAAATAATTGGACTGCCAACTTGCATCGCTGGTTGTTCCAGCTCCATCACAGGTCGTATCACGGGAAATTGAGTCCAGCTCCACTTCAAGGTTGGGTGACACGTGATGGGCATCACTTCCTGCATGCTGGTGCATGTGACTCAAGAGCTCTGGCTGGCAAGTAGTTTTAGACTGCAGGTGCAATACAAGATTTTTCTGCGATGTGCTATGCATTGTGCATTGCATTTCTCGAGAGACACTTCACGCTATGTGAAAAAAAAGAATTTCGCTCAATGTGGTATTGTGCATCGTGCAGTGCAACTTTCCCACAAAACTGGACTCTTATAGCTGTGGTTCACAGCAAAGATTTTCCTATTTGCGACTCTTGGTTTAATGGGTGCAGTAGCATGCATGTGCCTGGTGATATTGTTGCAATGGATCATAGTGAGGGCGTAGCAGGACTTGTGCACTGATAGTTGGTCATGGCATGAGTACATAACCAAGAGTGGGCAACTCGATGATCCCTCTGCCCACGGCAGAAAGTTTCATCACTTCGGCTTTTGTAGGCCATTGGGCTCACTAATACCATCATGCATAGCCAGAGATCAAAACTTGTACATCACAGCTACGGTAGTTGAAGCAGAACAATGAACTGTGGATCCATGCCTACTGAACCTGATGAAACACTCTATCTACATGGCACATGTAGAAATATATGCGCGCTTGCTCATAATCATTGGATTTCGAAGCCGATCGTACCTTATGTTAGTAGTTGCACATTCTTAGCAGTTATGTAGTTTGATAATAACGTTACGATAGATTATCAATACTGGTGGAAACGTTATGCTGGTTGCATATTTTGTACCCGGTGTGCCATGACCAGGCATGCTAATTCATCGGATATTATCAAGTTTGCCTGCCTGCTGGGTGTTGTATCTTAGCTTCACTGTACTACAAATACGATAGGCATAGTTTTCCTAAATTGCTTCTTTATAACATTCAGTTTGTTTTGCTGCAATCTTTTCACGTGTTTTGCAGGATTGTAGCCAAGGGTGAATACCATTATGATGAGCGAAGGTCTCTGAGAACTCATATCTGAAGGCTGGTCATGTTGGCCCAACGATGACTTTCATTGCCTGTTTCCGCCACCTTCATACTGGAATGAACTGGAACATGTTCCCTCTCTGTTTCTCATGTGGAAGGACGGAACAGATTGTTTGTCTGTCTCTGTGGATCACCGAAGGCTGAACAGTACAGTTGGAAGAATATTGGATCTCACGAAGTGACTGAATCTGAAGCGGCTGATATGCATCTGCACAGCGCTTTCTTTCTGAGATTTGCTTCAAGGCAGGTTATTGTGTACGATTTTGTCCACAGTATTCCTATATTAGCCAAACGTATTTCTCTGATAGTATTGTGACTACACACGCACAATGATCTCTCCGTCATCAGTCTTTCGAAATGATGTGGCTCGCTGATGACAGCATGCATAGCCATAGATCAAATGAGCAGCTAAGGTAGTTGAAGCAGAAGAATGGATCAATGCATCCTGAACCTGGTGTACTGCCTATATGCACTCTCAGTAGTATTTGTAACGTGTTAACTATGAAGTATCAACATTGCTTCTCTTCTATGTGGGTGGTGTGAGTGATGTCAGATGGTCTGTACTGCCATGGCCGATGGTGTTCACGGGAAGATGTTGGGTTGGGCCATTGTGCCCTCTTGCAATATGCTGTTGCAGCCTGAAGGCAATGAAAAAGTTCGAATGCTGATCTGCTTTCAAGCGTAGAATGTTACATTATGTGCATTACATATTTGCATAATTATGTTTTGTACTGGAGTGTGAATGTGCGGCAAGGGCATGCACATGTAAGTATATCGCACTGCAAACAGCCTAAGAGTTCACGTGGTATGTGATAAGTACACTTTTGGAAAGTGCGTGCACAGTCGAATCATGTAATGTTAAAACAGCCTTCGTGCTCCTCCCTGAATGGCTGCACAAGTAGAAATCTCCGTCTTCCTTTGCTTCTTTCTGCTTGAGCTGGCATGGTGGTCGTAGAGTTGGAAATTGTTAAGTATGATAACAATCGTTGTTTGGTCTGGAGACAAGAATGCATTTGGATATTTGTCCCAGGACTGCATGGCTTCCCAAACTGCATGTTGAATGCCATAGATGATTATTGTTCGGTTCAAGAAAGGACTCGTGGGTCTGTCTGGCTATTGTGAGCTCTCGCTAGTCCATTTCCATAGCACTTGCTCTGGATTCACTCGCTGGAATATTCTCCAGTATAGAACAAGAAGTTTAGAAAACCTACTGGTGATATTAGTATGTTATACTAGTTTCTCCGCACTGTACCGCAGCTTTTGTTATCACACACATGCGGGTTATATACAGTAGTTTATCTACAATCCAGTATGATGTTCTTCCAAGAACGCCCCGACCTAGGCCCTCGGAACGACGTTCTTGGGTGTGCAACATCACTTATAGTTCTAAATCTTAGAATTAAGCGCAGGATTTTAGTGATCACGGTTCCAAATGCATGTCATTGCACTCCGCCTTTGGGACTTATTAAACATGTCATTGCACTCCACCTTTGGGATTAATTTTAAGAGCTGCATGCATGCCAAAGCTTGTCATAAAAGAAGAGCAGACTTAAATAGGCATCTTGTACGCATGATTTCTAACATGTAACATCCCTGCCGAAGAGCGTTCTTCCATACTACAGTAGAGTCGAGCGTCCAAGAACGTTGTGTCCAAGAGGTTAGCCTTGGGTGTTCGTATTTTTCAGCCATCCGGCTGCGCTCTTGTAGCATGTTCTTAGAAACAATCATGTTAGGATCATATTATTATGTATCCCGAAAGCTGCCGGAAAACCAACACCGCCATTCTTTTAAACTTAAGGCGGTGGCGTTCTTAGCATTTCAGGCTGGACATTCTTGGGCAACACGTTCTTTGGCGCCCGACTCTACTGTAGTACTGTACATGAAATACAGCTACTACAACTGTAGTAATATAGAA